TTATGGGTATCTTTGTATGGGGGAAACTTCTTTAAAGTGAAATAGGTGCCATATTTTGTGGACAGTTTTAAGTTAAAAGCTTCAATATACAGCCACCACTCTGAAACAGCGATAAAGCCTTTTACATGACATTTATTTATTTTGAATCTAGAGAAAATAATGTGACTGCTATCAACTTTGCTAAAGATGTTTATGTGGGGTAGTCCATTGCTGACTAACCCAAATGCAAAAGGTCGATGATAAAGAGCAGCCCTTGATGACTTTCTTGGAATCATAATGGAAGACGTTTTCTTAAACTCTTCATCTCAATCATGTCAGCCTCATCTTTTAAAACAGGTCACACAGAAACTGCATGAATTTCCTTTATTATTTATCACCACATTCATGTTTCATCAAATAGTGCATTCAAGTGTTACTAAATAGGATTAATGCCTCTTTCATGCTGAACTGACAGGGATTTTGAGAGCTGCTACTCTTTTTGAAGGAGTGTTGAGTGTTTGTGTGTGTGTGTGTGGGGGGGGGGGGTCATTTGGGGAATATTGTTTTTACTTGCATACATAAGAGAAAAATGCCCTATTTAAAACAAAGATTTATCTTCAGACTTTGACTGTAGCTTTCGGTATTTAGAAAAGCAACACGACTACCCTAGCCCCACTGGAATATTGATCTAAGGGATTCACATGATTTCCCTGCAAGTCACTGGGACATGGCTGACAATATTGTTATCATATTTCTAATCCTCTAGCTCAGCTACATGGTAGTGTTTAGTGTTAGGGATCTACAGTTTGAACTCTGGCCAAATAGCTGTCAATTATATGACAGTTGGGCGACTGCCTACTCCAAACGAGTAAAAGAGCCAAAAACAGAAGGGTGATTTACTGGATAAAATCCCGGAAAAATATGGAATGTCCAAAGAAATTCAGATTGAGATACTTCTTAATTCCTCCATGAGACAGTCCTTAAAGCAGGACTTACTGTTTTTGGACATCTACTCATTGTAAGTGTTTTTATCTTTGGTGCCATCTTCAGACGACTACGCATCCACAATCTATGCAAAGATCTAGAAAGGGGCATATTATTTTGTGATAATAGAGGACAAAAAAGAAAAGTAATAAGTCAAGGATGACCTGGAATCAGGTCATGGTTTTAAAATGTTTAAAACATGGTGTAATTTTGCTGTGCTGTTAGGTATCATACTAATTTACCAAATCATTTCAGAAAAAGCATAACATATATTTTTTTTCACTTTTTAAATGTTAAGCAAAGCCAATAAGATCAGATCCCTGAACAAAAAAGGAAATATAAAATGACCAGGATGGCTAACTAATGCCAGGTGCACATGATAGGATCCACAGGAGAGAAACAGGCAAAAACCAGCAGCCAATGTATTAATGAAGAATTTATAGCAGTAACTGCTAGACACAAACTGATGAATGAGTGACCTTATAAATGTTAACTTGTCAGGTTGGCACTGTTAAACTGCTTATAAAAATATCATTAGGCAATAAGCCTCAAGAAGCTGTGGATTTAAGAATGAGCATCATAGCAACAACACTCACTGAAACATCGAAAGTAGCTTGACCAGACAACCTTTTTTTTCCTGGACATGTCATACGTTTCACACCTAAAAAAATGTCCGGGGGGAAATTTTCAAATCGTCCGCAATTTTGGTCGACTACAGTGCAGCACGTAGGGGAAACACACCGGGCGGGAACCCCGGCGGACAGGGGCAGGGAGCCAGCCGGGGAAGGAGCGACCGAATCCGACCTGATGACAGTAGCCTAGGGTCACTGGGGGGAAGAATATTGTCACGGGGCTGTCCAGGCTATCCTCACCAGGTCGGGTACGGTCGGAACAGCCCCTCGTTTCAGTAAAAGTAGTTTAGCAAATCCTGCTTTGAACTGTCCAAGATTTGCAAAGCTGTCTTTGGTAAAATGCTTAGAGCAAATGAACAGCTGAGCATCAAACTTTGCAGGGATCTTCTGATAGACAAAAAAAATTCCATGCCTGTCGAGTCTTCAGATCCTTGGAAAGACTGTAAAAAATTTCCCCTTTCTCCGTGCAGCCTGGAACACGCATTTACGCCCGTCGTCCTGGGTTATTTAAATAGAGAAACTGTCTGCTTTGTAATTCTTGTAGAACTAAACCTACTGTAGGCTAAACAGCTAAACTGGTGTCTTATATCTACCTCTATTTATGTTATTGGGCCAGTGAACCAGTTTGCTGATGTAAATTTCGGGGTGTGACAAAAGTACAGGCCAGAACCAAATAAGGCAACATCCCCAAGTGTACGTTCACTCGGGGCTTCGTTTGAATTCGCCCGTTTTATGGTTGAAGTTAAGAATTGTGAGATTTGCAGAGAAAGGCGGTGTCAATGAGGTTTGAACTTCTCTCTATGTCCATTTCAACCACTGAACTATCGTTATTTATCTATGTCAGTGTCAACTTGATTTTGCATTCTTTGACCCCTTTCAGAGATCGAAAAATACTTAACTAGGTTCATAACTTCAGTTATTAACAAGCAGAGCAGAGATATGGTATCAATTCATGGATCTGGTACATTAACCTGATATTTATTAAGAGGAATCGGGTTTCATGACGTCATGATTTGTAAAAGGAGATACATATTTTGTGGTAAAAACTAGGACTGCAACTATGATTACTTTAAAAATTGATAAACCTGTCGATTATTCTTCGATTAATAATTGGAAAGCCAAAGGTTCCTTAAAGAAAAAAAAAAAAAATGAAACCTGGTGAAACTAAAACTTTTCCACTTGAGGAGTTCTGAACAGAGCAAATTGACAGACAAAATTATAAATACTGCTCTAAGTGGGTTGCTCTGTCAAATGAAGGCATGTTTTACAGTTTCTATGCTCCAGTTAACGATTTATCGATTACTAAATTAATTGAAGATTATTCAATATTCAAATAATCATGATTAATCTGATAAATTTTTCAGCCCTAGTAAAAACATAAAAATTCTATGACATTCCTGAACGAAGAATTCAACAGCTGGCTGGGAAACATTGCATATCGAAAAAAATATCAGAACTTCATCTTCTGAAGGGGAATAATGGCCTTCAGTCTGGACCTTGCAGACATATTTCCAACGCAAAGAGCAAAGCAGTTACATTTCAACCTTGAGGTAAGAGGAAGCTGTGGTATGACAGCTTAAAAAAGAAAATACCATGAGAAGTTTTCCAAATCCAGCAACAATAATAAAATGACTACCTTTTTACTGCACAGAAAAAAACATAGCCTTGCTCAATAATGCTTTTATACTATGTGGCTCAAAGGCAGCTGGGGCCTTTTGAAAGTAGTTCAAACTTTTTATTTTTATAGACAGCAGGCTTGCCTTTAAATCAGCTACAGAGGAAGTCTAAATGTTGTGCTTGATTTGTTTTCAGCATTTATGCAGGGACAACTGCAAAAACCCGCAAATTAGAAACAGGATACAATAAATTACCCTGGTCGTTCAGTCAGTTGACGTGTGCTTCAGCTTTAGAATAGTTGAACTAAAATGCACCTCTTACATTCATTCAGAGAAAAAGCAATAAAATGGTATTAATTACTGTACATGTAAGGTACAACATCGAATGGATGGATGGATGGATGGATGGATGGATGGATGGATGGATGAATGAATGAATGAATGAATGAATGAATGAATGAATGAATGAATGAATGAATGAAGGAAGGAAGGAAGGAAGGAAGGAAGGAAGGAAGGAAGGAAGGAAGGAAGGAAGGAAGGAAGGAAGGAAGGAAGGAAGGAAGGAAGGAAGGAAGGAAGGAAGGAAGGAAGAAAGAAAACCTATTCAATCCAATCTAGTAAAACAGAACAGTAATCATGGCTGGCAGAGAAGGAGAGGAGCTTGAAAAACAACCTGCATACTTTAGGTCACATATATCAGAGTAGTATTTTGGCTTCCTTGTCAAATACAATGATGCTGGAGGAAGGGTGGTGGATAAAACAAAGGCGGTATGAAGGCATTGTGGCACGAGAAAGTCATATGAGAGTGGAAATACATCTAGCATGGCAACTCGTTTGAAGCGGTATCATCTGGGCATATCTGCGCCCATGACAGGATCCAAGACGGGAGCTGCTCAACAACCACTTCTCACTGCGACATTTAAACAGCCTTTAGCGGCAAAATCAGACCAGGCTAAAGATATAACAAATGCTACCGGAGTTCTTATAGCTGCAGACATAAGACCATACTTCGTTGTGCAAAACAAGGCTTTAAACAAGCTAAATGTAACCTCACATTGCCATGATGGCAAGATGCTATCTGGCTCTGCCAGGTACTTCAGTCACTGGAGAGAGAGTCTTCCATTGCAGGGGACATAGTGACTGCAAAGAGGTACATGCCTTTACCAAGACAGTATAGATGCTTCTTATCTTTTTTTAAATCGTTGGAATTATAAGTTCAGAGCTGATTTGTTTTTTTTACTTTCCTTCTAGGGTAGTTTTGAATTCAGTCTTCAGTCATGTTTAAAAGAAGAAGATATCAAACACAACCTAAAATGCACTTTTAGTTGTCAGTGTCCTTGCACAAAGTAAGAACGTGTCATAATGCACAATGCATTTTCTTTTTTCTTTTATACAATGACCTGTTTAAAGGGATTTGAAGAGGGTACTTTCTGAGCTTTTAGTTTTTTAAATTTGCAAAAAGGATTAAATAAGTGCTCAACAAAATAAATGGAGAGCAAAGTTTTTTTTTCTTCTGCAGATCCCAAAAATAATCTGATCCATGACTCAAAACCATGATACAATCTGAACCGTGAGTTTTTTGATCCATTGCACCGCTACAGTCCAGGATGTATGCTGACAGTTTTAATTTTTAATAAAACATTAGCTACTGCTGATTTTAACTTTCATTATTAAATTTATATTATTACATGTAAGAAGGCTTAATCAGGGTAGACCTGAAAAGATGAGTAGTAATGTTTAACAGATACATCATGTGAACAGGTGTTTATTTGTTGATCTTAATACTTACGCATCTACGTCTGGAATCAGGTCCAGCTTGCTGGGAAAGATTTCAGAAAGCAGCACCCGAGTGAAGGACTTGCCCAGACTCTGAAGCCTTGACTCTAAATGCTACAGAAAAAAAATATAATAAAATAAACACAACTGAGTGGGATTAAAGTAATAATGAAAAAATCCACACAAACCTTTCTTTTGAGTTGTAGGCTTAAACTGGAATACAGTTAGACACATCTCTAAACCCCACCACAGGGCAGACTATCACAGAAACCATTCAGAAAATTATGTTCAGGTTGGTAACACTTTGAAGCACTTCTGAGTGTGCTAACCTGTCCTCCAGTATGGATTAATTTAGACAATAATATGTAAATTTCACATAAATAAACATGTAACAATTATGTTGTTGCGATCAGAAGTTGGCTGTTCACAAAAAAGTGGAATGCGATTAAGAATATATATTTTCTGGGCAGCAAGGTTGAGCTGCAGGTACTATCCTTGTCTTGCAGCAATACGGGTCTTGGTTCAGATCTCAGCCCATGGTCTTTCTACTTGGTGTTTGCATGTCCCCTAAGTAGTCCAAAGCATGACTGTGAGGTTATTCAGTCTTTCCAAATTGCCCTTAGTGCATGACTCTTTTTCATGTTTTTCCTGTGTCAAGTTCCACAATGCAGACTAATCACCTGCTTAAGTGAACAGGATGAAGGAAAACAAGGCAGAATTTTTACTCTCTGGACCTGGAATATCCACCTCTGGCTATAGGTCTTTTTTTTATATAAAAATGACCCATTTGGCTCATTGTGTAAAACATATGTCTACACGTGGTAGATACTATTACAAGGATTTTACCATTAAATAGATTTTTTTTTTCATTGCAAAACTATTTGAAGACCAAGCATCATGTTCCCTCAACTTCACTACCACGAATTGCTTTTTATCATTCTATCATATAATATCTTAATAAAGTAAAAAATGGTGGTGGTGAAAAAGGTTTCAAAGAACATGAGTACTTTGATAAGGTCATACACATTCTTAAAGGTGTATGTATTTTGTTGGTAAAATTAAGCTTGACCAGATACTCCCCAGCCAGTTAGGTTTGTGAATTATAGAAATCTCTTTTCCAATGCGAGTTTTATAAGCACTTTCCTGCTGTTTACCAGTTACTGAACATTTCCTGAAAGCTTGAGTTTTTTAATCTGTTGTAAAATTACGGAACTTTTAAATATTTTCCAAATGTAGATTTATGTTAAATGGAAATTACCCCAATTATCTTAAATAAGATAAATCCTGTCCTGATGGGCAAATCAACCTGAAATGCTCTTTTTTTTGGCACTGATGTACTGAGCTTTTCAAAATGCTGGTGTCCAATATGAACAAAACAGTTATGGACAAATATTTACTTATTGGTTTGGAAGCTGTTAGTGACAAGGTTTAATAAACTCCATTGTGTCCTTTCTCCTCAAACAGCTGAAGGTTCTGTGTCAGACAGAAAAGTAAATAAACGTTTAAAGTTGATTATTCACCATCAAATAATGTTATGAGAGAAGTGATACATATATCTGTTGCTTCACAGCTCTATATCCTCAAAATTAACTCACCAACCCATTCAAACCCCACCACACTTGTGTAATTGGCTCACAATATAAAATGATCCATAACAAATTAAAGCACACTGCCTAAACTTTAGCAAACAATACTTTAGGGCTTTCTGTAAATGAATTACTCCCAAGAAAGAATACTGCTTAAGCAGATCTATTATCAAACTGTCTCTTCTGAAGCCACTTTGTGAACAGAAGCTTTGATTTTTAAAAACTAATGCAATTAAAGTCCTGTTAGAAGAAGATATCAGATTACATTTCTGGTTTTAAAGTTTTGTTTTGGCCCAGAGATCCAAAATAACTCCTCATAAGGCCACTCAACATTTAAAGAAATGGTCATAATGCAAAATCAACAAGAAGGTACTTATGAATATACCTATGATACAAATAAATGTCACTTTATAATGAATAAGCAAAATAAACTGTTAAGATCTAGAAGTGATAAGTCCAGTCTGAACTTTATATGTATTATTTGAAAGGATGAACTCCAAAAGAAAAAAAAAGAAGAAAAATCCCACTCAAGGAAATGGTTTAAATTATTGTTAGTATATTTGTGCTGATTACCAATAGAAGATGCTAGCTCATCTAAGACTAAGCTTAGAACATCAACCCTCAATTTGTCCTCTAAAGAAAAAAAAAAAAGCGTCCTCCTTTTCTCAAAGTACAAACAAAAAAATAAAATATTTTTCTTGGAAGTGTATAAAGATAAAGGTAGGTTCATTGTTTGCTTCTAAGAGCATTTAAATGAAACCTCTTCGATACAACCTTTAAAACAACATGGATGTATCAATAAATGAATCTATTTTTCAAATTTAGCAACACCACCTCCCTGCTAGGTCTGTCTTTAGACATGGAGGCAGTTGGCTGAGGTGCAATGGGAGCAAAAGGCAACCGGACAGATTGAGAAAATCCAACAAATAGACTTTAAGTGAGATGAAGGAAACAGTACTGCTGATATCAACCTCCCTGGGAGGATTATAGACATTTCTATGACTGGGCTCTTATCGGAGTTAGTTCTGTACTTTTACTTGCGAGGTTATCTGACACCACACCTCTTAATCTCAACAGGTTAATACTGGAGAGCTGGAGAGTTTTTATTTAAATCTGCCTTTTGAATCATTTTTCCTCTAAGAAGATAATTATCTGCCTGGTCTCCAGCAGAGATCTTACATCAATGGTGATAAAATGTTTCAAATCTGGATTTTAGAAGTGTCACAGTAAAAGCTTCAGAATAGGTACTGTTGAAAAAAGATTTGGGATTTGGATTCAAATCTTTTACATCTAGCATTTAAGTTATACCAAACTTATATGTAACGCACAAAGATATGCAGTATAATATGACAGACTACAAAACTCTTTATATTTTATGTACATTTAAAATATATGCTGCTTTGATTGATAAATCTAAAAGTATCTCAAAAAAGGTAAAGAATGATAATTTCAAAAGATTTGGATCTGCATCATCCAAAAAGTAAAAACCTGCCCGGCAGAACACTGCCTGTCCAAACATTACTAGATGCCACCAAAACATTCGTCCCGAGGCCTCTTGTGCAATGACTTGTAATACTGGGCAGAGTGAGATTTTTTTTAACAAGCAGACTGCTAAATTAAGGATGCAAACTCACCTCCAGGACTTTGGGACTACCTTGTCTGCCCAGTGTACCTAAGATCAGACCCCATCTCTGGGCCAGTCGAGCCTTGTCAATAGCCTGCAGTCTCAGAGAACGCATGGCCTTGTGATCATAGTACTCGCGGGAGAACACCTTACTGTAGGGGTCATATCTATGGACAAGCACAGAGAAAATTGATATGGCAGACAGATGTTTTAAGACAGTTACACAGACACAAACAGGGTATATCACTCTTTACCAGCTGTTGTTCAGGTATCTATCTTTGAGAACCAGAATCCCCAAAGAGACAAGAAATGTAATCATGAAAAGCCATCAAGTATGACAGGACCTAGAGTATCTTAGGGAAATGGGGGTATTTCTAAGCCTTTAATCTCATTTTCTCTGCCACACTTGAGATTAGAATCTTGTTTATGTGGGAGACCTGCGATCTGTGCTGCAGTGCATACATTTCAAATAATTTTTTATGGCAAGCAAGGGTGATGATTTGTTGACTTAGAATGTATTTAAATATTAAGCCCAAACTAAACTTGAACATCAAAATTGTCTAGATGATGGTTTATTGTTTTGCTACATTTTTTTCAGAAATGCAAATTTAAGAGCTTCACATACATTTATTTTAGCTCCTTTAACTATGATACTGCTAAACTGCCGATGGATATAATCCGTCTAATTAGTCAAACAATCTGTGTGTAATTTAATCTAAGCATAAATATGGTTCTGGTTCAGAGGTTTGTTAGAACAATGGCATACAAGACGTGGATAAAGTCTTAGATAATTTACAGCAGAGATAAAATATAAAACAATATCCCAAGCTTTGGAGATTTCATAGAGCACTGTTCAATCCTTTCTCTAAAAGATTTAAAAGTAAAGCACAACACCATGTATACCTAAATAAACAGGTCGAAGAGCATTAATCTGAGAGGTAGCCGAGAGGCCAAAGTTATTTGGAGAGTTGCACAGATCACAGGTCAGATGATGGGCATTACTCATGCTCTCCACAATTATGACCTATAAGGAAGGGCAGAAGGTAAAGAAAAAAAAAAACGTTTTGAAAACAAAATGAAAAATAAATTTTGATCAAAGTTGTCCAAAGGTACCATTTACATACAGCACATGTGGAAGAAAGATGTTTCTGTAGTGGTATGACAAATTTATTTTTTGGAGCTACATACTATGGGGATGGAAAACTATGAACACATCATCCTCACAGTGAAATATGTTCATGGCAATATCATGTGTTGGGGATGTTTTTCTTTCAGAGAAAAGGAGAGCTGGTTAGACAGGGCTATATATAGGGCAACCCCAGAAGAAAACCACAAAGGTGCTGCAAAAATGGTGGAAAGGAGGTTTACCTTCTAGCAGGAAAATTGTAGAACCCAAAACCTGCTGCTGTTATTACCAAGAAATGAGGGTTTTTATAAAGGATGCATGTGAGATGAAAATAAATGCATACTTTTTAGACCTTTTTAATAAAATAATTCAAATCATTAAACTCTTACTTCCACCTCAAAATAACACATGCAACTTTGACTTCATCCATCACACAAAATATTCATAAAATACATTAAAGTAGTTGGTCTGAAATATGTGTTGTGAATTAGATGTAGGATGAATCAGATGCTTTGATGTAGTGTTTTTCAAGGTGTGAGGCGTGTGAACACCAATGAGTCATATTTCTGCAACATGTTGCTTCATATTACCTGTAGGCAGGGATGTCTGGGTTTGCGATCATAATCGACTCCAAATGAAATCGTCCATCTCCAAGATAACTAAACAGAAATATTATATTCATATTTCAGCACAGGAATTGAAAAAAGAAAAAAAAAGGTGCATTTATATTTATACATAACTGTGTGCACACAAATGCTAACCTGCAATATATTTCCACGCACACAAAGTTTGTGAGAAAACAAGTCATAAATGTTGATAACTTCATTAACAATGTGAAAATGGGCAGTCCTGCACATCCCTGCTGCTTATATGAGTGGATGGTTTAAGTCTGTACCTGTTCTGACTTAAGACATGCAAATCATCGCACTAATTGGTTTCTGTTTAAGAACAGGTTTAAGAACTGAATGGAGATTGTAATTTCAAAACATAATGAGATTAGACCATTTGTAGAGTGTGCTTATGTGGAAAAAATGCACTGCTGTCCTTGTATGCAACTGTGCAATAATACTTAACAATGAAACACAATGAAACCAGGCACAGTCTTTGCTGAATTGCTTGTTATTCCTTTGAACATTCACGACCCACATAGAAATTCTGCAAATCCTTCAGCTGTGTTGTCCGATTCTGGTTGTGCTCTCTGAGCCTTGGCCTTATCATCATATCCACATCCACATATTGTCCTTTTACAGAAAATAGCAGGGGCACATTCAGAAGATAGAAATGGTCCACTGATCCTTTGTCAGAGCTCTTTTCAAACCGATTTTCAGCTGCCAATTTTTCCAGCCCTTTAATGACTTGTATGTGCATTTACATCTTAGTGAGTGTGACAGCTTTGCTGTAAAAGTAAAGACATTTCAAGCAAATTCAAGTTTTAAATAAAATGTTGTTAAACTGTGTACTGTTTATAAGGTGTGTCACAGCTAACTTAATTGAACTCTGTTACTTTTGTGAAAGAAAGTAACTTATTTGTCATAATATTAACTTGATAGTTTATTAAAGAAAAAAGGGAACCTGATCATTGAAGGAAACAGTTACTCTGTAATAAAGCTTTTAATGTTGCTGCAAAAGGATAACAAAACACTATTTCATTTGGTGCTGCACCACAGTGAGCGCTGCAGTCTTTGTTAGGGGGGCTTTATAATACCAGTATGTTATTCATTACTTTAAAAGGCATATATCATCAGATTTACCACTTTTGCTTATGAGCTTTATTCAGGCCTGTAACTTGCTATATTTATATTCATTTCATTCTAAACATTCTAAAGATGCATATATCAAGCAAAACAGCACAGAAAACAGCTTAAAATTACAGAGGAGATTGCCACTGCACCGTAGAAAAGCTAAACTTATGCGTCCATGAACAAGGTCTGTATAACAAATTTGAATCTATAAAGTTATTTTTGGATTTATCCAGAATGGAGGAATGCTGTCTCAAAGCAGCAGCTTGGAGACCTATAAACCAATAACATAATGCAAAGATTTAAAAGCCATTTAAAGCTAAACCAATCTGTTTATTCTTACCCACAGCAGGGAAAAGCTGTAATTAAGGGGTCTTAAATTATGGTCCTCAGGACCAATTGTCTTACATATTTTAGAGGTGTCTCTGCTGTAATGAATAATAAAGAATTGTAGAAAGGGCAAGAAAAAACAAGTCTTATAAGTGGTTTGAAATTGTAAATAAATAAATGTTGTAACAGTAATGAATAGTTGTGCTTGAAAGTTTACAAATCCTCCCATTAAAGAAAATGATAAATTCACTCCAATAATTCAAATAACACAAAACTGAAAAATAAGAATAAATAAAAATGTACTTAATAAGATGTAAAAAAAAAAAAAAAAAAAAAAAAAAAAAAATACAATATTCAAATTTTTATTAAAAAAAAAAAAACATAAAAAAAACAAAACAAACTTCTAACAAACAAAGTCCCGGAAAAATTAAAGTACCTTGATCATGACTGAACATTACAGAAAACAGCTGATTTCAGTGATTCCCAAAGTGTTGCTCAACAACATTTTAGTTTAGTTTAGCCCCATCACGCATGCTTTCTTTTTATATTAATTTTTTGTATTTATTATTACTATTAATTTATTTTACTGACAGCTGGCACAACTGTAGTTGTAGTTCAAAGGACAATGACTGACACCAAACTCAAACAGTTTGAACATATTTAAGTCGGTTTACTCAAAGTAACGTGTCTTTAGGCTTTTAGAGTTACTCCAAATGAAAACTATACAGACCCTCTTTGCAATGGAGGGCTGCAGGAATAGATATCCAGAAAGCAGGTTCAAATCCTGACCTGTGCACGTTCTCCCTGTGCATATGTGCGCTCCTTCCTTTCAAACACCTAAAACCTGACTCTAAGGTTAATAGGTGTAATAAGTGTTAGTGTGTATATAGTTATGTATCCACTTCTTACATACTTTTTATGTACTCATAGAAACATATACAAGAGATAAGAGAAATATATCATCTTAAGGACAGCTGGTTCCTAAAAAAAACAGTCCACTTCAAACGTAGTACATGAAGGACAACATATATTAAATTAGCATGTGAAACACACTGTAACTCTTGCATAGCTTTTGTCTCCTCTTTTGCGTTTAGCAAAGCTTTCCCATGCATTTTTATTTTAATCTTCAAGCACTGGAGGGTTTGAATCACATGGTCTAACATCAAATGACTGAAGCTAAAAGTATACAGATAAAACAGAACAAGAATTTTCACCTATGCATAATTAAATCAGGGGAATTACATTATCTCGCTGTGTGCAACAAAGAACAGGGCTCGTCTAACACAGACTAGCATGACGTGTATCAACACAAAGCAGCTGCAGGCACACTGTGTGCTGCTCGGCCTTGATACCTTTGCAAATCTCCACTTTTTTTTCTCCTACCAACACTTTGAAATGTTTAAACAGCACGGAACTATGTAAATATATTAAATAGCCAGTCTTTTAGGATTTTTACAAAGACTGAATGGAGGTTGTGTTTTTTTTTTGCTCAGTTAAAAAAGGCAATAAATTGAGCTGCAACAAATTTGTAAATAAAATGATGTGTTGCATAGTTGATCACTTCTTACCATGCATGTCACAGTAGGTGTTGCGCTTAAAAAAAGTTTTTAAAACATTGAAATTTTGCCGCAGATGGGGATATATTGCATTTTCTTTAAAAATCTAAAACTGTCAAACTATTTCATATTCCTATTGTGAGATTGTTACAGTGAGAAGGTATTTTTAGTCTCCTCTGGATCAGCATGTGGCTTCGGTGGTTGCATACAGCATGGGAAAATCTAGTTATCTCTGCCAACTATATTTCATGTGACTGGAGTATTGTCACACAGATTATGACTTTAATCACATGAGTGGGCATGGAAGTGGCAAGAGGAAGGCAGGAGGAAAGACATTTCTTACATTATGGCATCGGTATGGCGGTCCAAGCGAGGAGAGGTGCAGCCTAAAATTTCTCCTGGTGACAGAGGCCGACACTGGGGCACAAGCACATCATACTCTGGCCTCAGGGCTGAACTCACAGCCTGCAACATGAAGAAAGGAAAAATTATTTAAAGTTTTTTAAGAGTAAACCGACAGGTACAAGCTTTTAACTTCTATGTTTTGAAATAAAAAATGAAAGTGACAAAAAAAGACAAAAAAAAAAGGAAAACAAAAACATTTTTTTCACTTAACTCTTACATTTTAAATCAATCAGATAAACAAATTTCTTACATTCCTTTTTGCTTTTACAGGTAGTATAAGGTAGTAAATAGTCAGCTTTATGATATTTAAAGAATTTTTGATGTTTTACTAAAGAGATATAATTTTAACCATTACTATTTCTCACTGAATCTATAATGTAGTAGAAAAATGGCTTTATAAAAAGGTATTAGCTGGATTAATTGACAAATCTATGGACCAAAAATAAACCCTAAGTGGCTAATTCCAACATCCTGTCTCAATCTATGACTCTAAAATTATTTTGTAGGAAATCTCAAATGGCAAAAACACTGTTTTTTACACAGAGTAGTACAATAACTTTTTGAGAGCAGATTAGAACACAGCATCAGTAATGCTGCTTGTTTTATACTTTAAAGCATAAATGTCTAAGTTTTATGTTGCAATAATCAAGTAGAATCCCCAACAAAGTTAATTCCAACTAGGACAGATAGTAGTCAGTGAGTTCAATATTAAAAATGCATGGAAGCCATATAAATGGGTCATTTACACTTAAATCACGTTAAATCAGAGGTGCATGTTATACTGTAAAATCTGTATTTTTATGTTCCTTAATCTATGACTCAGAGAATCTGGATATACAGATGGAATTAGCCTGTATTGCTAAATGTTTATCCCACACTGATTAGAATATAGCACTGCAATGAGAACTTGCCTATCTCGATGTCATTCCCAGATCTGAGCTCTGACTTCAGATAAAGTAAAGCAGTATAGGCTGTCAGAGACTTTTTATTGGTACACTTATGTGAAGAAAGAGAAAACCTTTTTTCCCCATTACCGAACATCAGGACTTATGCAATAACTTGACTAAGCATCTTTCTTTTAGTTGTATTTTAATTTAGCTGTGTCATAACAAAATCTCTTCTATTCATACTGGGAAAACAGAGCTGCAGATCATGCTGTGCGCCCCATTGTGGTTCACTGTTCAAACACAATTCTAATCAGACTAATTTGATGATGGCCACTTTTGCTATGTATGGTATTTTTCTCATATTCAGCTTTGATTGAAATTATGATTACCTTTGATGATAAGTAGACAGTAAAAAATTACTTGTTTTATAGGATACAAGTTTAGAGACAGACTGGGCAGAGCACTGGTAGTCAGCTTACAAAGGAATGACCCAGATCTGAATCATACTTTTGGGACCTGGTAAAACTATTAAAGTCAAAAACTAAAATTCTAATTTTAAGCAATGCTTACTGTTAAAACAATTGAGCCCCATACAGCTAAAAACAACTGATATTTCTGCTCTACCCTATATGGATCTAAAACGTCAAAAATTAAAGATTGAAAATGAATGGATAAAATACACAATAAATGTTTGAGCAGAAGAAAAAAAAACAATACAAAAAAAAACTTGAGGATGTTGGAAGAATTTCTCAAGCTATGTCTATAGTGGGTAATGTAACCTTTCAACCATCAATATCTAACTATGGTTTTAGAGATAAACAGCTAAAGGCCTCATTATTTTTAATCAACTCTTTGAAGAAACACACTTAAGGTCTTTCACACAACTTCAGGAACATTTTGATCTTCCCTCAAGTAATTTTTATAGATATTGGCAAATTAGGCACTACATTACAAATCATAAGGAAAAATCCCAAATGGCATAGAACAATAATTTATCATAAACTCAGAAAAACACCTCCCTGTTGGTAAACATGTTTCTCATCAATATAAGACTGTCAACAAACATAGTAGAAAATACTGACAATATCCAGGAAAAGTGGGACTTAGAAGCCAATACAGTAATAGAAGATGAGTTATGGGACAAACTCTGTTCTAGCTGCCAAAAGGGAATTAATAGTCAACAGTCAAAGGAATTTGTTTAGACACTTAAAACACGCTATTTTCATACTCCTCTGGTTAGTTTAAATTTTGTGAAAGATCCATCTGCAGCTTTATGCTGGAGACAATATGGTAAAATAGGCAACCATAAACATATTTTGGGACGGTCCGGCAATCCTTGCATATTGGAAAAACATTAAAGGAGAGATGGAGAAAATTGTAAAATGCGAAGTCCCTCAGTTTTACTTACTAGATGTTATATCAGTGATTTTTGATTTTTTCAATACTGACCAAAGATATATATCCTACGAGTATTACTACTCATTACCAAACAAAAAAAGAATCATTACCGTTAATTGGACGAAGGTAAAATCACCAACTGTGACTGAATGGAAACAGAGACTAATACAGATTTATGTGATGAAAAAAATGACTGCTTCATTACAGCTGAAAACTGACCTTTTTAATCAGTGATGGCACATGGTTAAATAATAACTATAATTTACAGGGTTCATAAAGAGGGAAGAAAAAAAATTGTATTAATATCGAAACCTGCTTTAACTTGTGTGGGTATTTTTTTATGTATATTTTATCAAACTAAATTGTTGTATATCATTGAACCAATTATACAATGTTTGCTGAGATGTGAAGAACATTCATATTATGCACAGCAGGACATATGTAAAGAATATTTTTATTATTATCATTATTTTTATCGTTTTCACTTGTCAGATAAAGTTATTTTAGTATTGTTCTGTGAAAAATGTAAATGAAAAGTTCTAAAAAATTAATAAAATAAAACAACTAATACTTTTTAGCTTTTGGCTTACAGAAAATAAATGTAATACTTATATTTACTAAGTGGGATATAAAGTACTGGACATCATAGAAATTAAGCCTTACTAGCCCAGGTAGATCAGAACTTAAGTAAAACAAATATAGTCTTTACTAGTCCATTGCACAAAGTACATAACACAAGATGTCTACATTTGAAAAGTTAATGGAAGGATGATGTGTTGCTACTCATTTGTAGAAAACCAAACCGACTTATAAGATAAAATACACAGACATATATGCAGACATGCATGCAATGGAAAGCCGCACAATTAAGTATCACCCATTAGTGCAGGGCACGATTTAAAAATAGTGTGCTTTACATTAGTAAAAGCCCACAGCGTGGTGAAAAAAACTCAGCTCATGAAAGCAGCAGAGCACATTATAGAACAGCGAGGCAGCAAGCCAGAGAGAGAGATGTTAAAGCTTAATACTATAACTGCTGCCACTGCTTATGTAAAGAGCAGTCCTGAGCATGATGCTGAACTGAGAGGCTTTCCGAGGTCATTTCGCCTTTCAAAGCAAAAATAACTGCTGCCAGATTTGACAAACCCACACTTGAATTGAGCTGAGAGGAGGGTTCATAAAAAAATAGGAAGCACAAAAACACACTGTGCAAGGGTTGGAATGAATGCATGTCTACACTTCTGCAGCACAAACAAACAGAAAAAAATCAACTCAGAAGTGAAAAGTAAATAAAGAGAAGTTTAAAAAAAAACAGGATTTTGTGCCTTCAAAAATTGTTCATATCACTTTTTTTTGGCAATTTTGACACGCTATGACAACAAACTTTGTCTATCACATAACATCAGTGATCTTATGTGATAGACCAACACTAAGTAGTGCAATACTGTGAATAAAAGAACATAACATTTATTTTCAAAACAGAAAATGCAAAAGTGAAGTGTATTCATATTCAAGCAGCACTTAGAACCAGCGGACGGTGCAAAAAAATGACAAGTGTTTTGCATATTTCCAAATAATGCCATCTAGAACTTTTTCAGTCTTTTTGGAATAAAAGTCAAGCTTAGTCAGACTTAATGGAAGGTATTTGTGAACATAAATCACAAAGTACCTCCACATATTCTATTTTAGATTGAGTTATACAATCATTCTACTTTTCGCTTAAATATACTTTGATCTAAACTATTTCAGATCTGATTTTTAGTTTTGTCGTCTTAAAGGAAGATGAAGCTCATCTTCCCATCATTTCAAACATCTTCCTTCCCAACCCTAAAAAAAAAACAGAACCATGATATGGCCAACACCATGATTCACCACGAGGATGACATAGTCCCAAGTCTTTCTATAATAGTACTAGAGAAGCTTGAACTGGCTCCTCAGCATGCAATCAAATTTTATTAAGTGCTGCTAATGAACTTGATCATATGATTTGAACAACACATAGCCTAGCCAACATTTAAACACTGAATGGCTGATTGTCTATCAGATAAATTCCTGATAAAATGCAATTGAGTTTTTGGTCTTAGCATGACAGAAAATCAAAAACCATTAAATGGTTTAGTGAAGCAATGTAGACGAAATTGGAACAAAATGATTGGGTGATCACCTGCAATGCTGCCACAAACTGGATAGTACTGACAAGTGCCAGAGATTGTCCGGGCTTGAAGTTGAACTTCACTGTGTCCATGAAGTGTGCATTGTCCATCTGGATGTCCACAAACACGTACAGCATCTTAATGCCTGCGGTGGAATCTATGGGGACTGCAGGAAGATAAAGACAATGAGAAAAGAAAGACAGATGATTAATTCACTCTCCTGTCAGATGAATCTTCCATGTGTATAGTGTTGATGGTGCCTGAAACACTGAGGTCCTTAACATGTTCAGCCATTCACCTATATGGGATCCATGAAAGCTCATTCTAGCTCACAGCTGGCATTTGTGGGGTATAATTGAAAATCATTCGCATCAAGTTGCCAACTCATGCAAAAACTGTTGCAAAGACCTCAATTATTTAGGGAAGGAGAGGGACACATGTGATCACTATTAATGCTATTAATTTCATAGGCCATTTACCACGCGCTTGGGCTTAGAAGGCATAGCCAGACATGTGATGAAGGTGGAGCTGGGCAAAGATGGCATGACTCCAGAAGAAGAAAAGGGACACTAAAAGTAACAAATAACGGTCTAATTTATTTAATAAATTATATACTCACCAGAAGCAAGAGGACATCTTATTTTAATTGGAAAAACAGACCCTTTAAGGTACAAATTTCAAGTCTTAAGAGACTGAGAAAATAAGGAGCAACATTAAACAAAAAATAGAAAGATGAACAATTTAAAACTGGTTATTGAACATTATCTCCTTTATTTGTAAAAGACTAAGAGTAGATGGGAAACAGGAGTGACTTACAGGAAAACCAGACACAAATATTCAGGGGGAAAAAATCTTATTTTGGGGCAGTGAGAGGGAGATTTCATTGACAGCTAAACAAATTTCAAATAATGCAACACATAAGACAAAAGAGAAATTGAAACCAAGTTTGGGAGAGGTTGGTGGTGTGATCAGAAAAACAATTTCCAATCAAATTCATATTCTTATACGAGTTAAGAGTATTCACTCAGGATGTCACACACATGCAAGGCTGCACAGTGCCTGGGTGACAGGGGTTGCTTTTAACAGAACAGAAGATAATTTTCTCATCACAATTCAGACTCCTTGATCTCCAGCTTCTTTCACCATTTTACTGTTTTCCTCTTACTGTATGTAACTTGTTTTCAAACCCCTATGGTAAAGCCCTTTGTAGTTGTTTGCGGGTTTCCTGTGGGATTCAGAAGAGGCAAGAATATTGGCAACTCACTATGTCCCCTTGGTAGATATTTATTAAAATGCTGGCTTGAATGACAAACACTGGATCTAATAACACTTAGACACTTTTTTCCAGTCACCAGTTGTCAATTAACTAGAGAGAGAAAGGATTTAATTATCCCATGTTTGAGCCAAGAATGCAAGGTGTCGAAATGTATAGGTCTTAAAACAGCTCAACTTCAATGAAGGGCCTGAATAGTTATAACTAAAACCAAAAGTGTTGCACTTGACAAGTAAAACTCCGGACTAGGAATAACAGCTGTCTGTTGCTTGTTTGGATGTACTGCCAAACGGTAAAAGGGCAGAGCAAAGTGACATCGATCTGTGTTCACATTAGTATGGCAATCTGAGTGCACTTAGGTGCTGCAATTAGAAAAACAGCCAATAAGACAGACAGGACTCTCAAAACAGTAACTGCTTTTTTTTTTCAAATGTGTTACGGTGATGAGACCTATTAGCTCAGCTCCCTATTAAACCAATGTAAACAACTATAAGGGTAAATCGACTAAAAGTTAATGTTGATAAAGGTACAAAGGCCCCTTGTCAAATGGGTTGCTGGGAAACTGATACAAATTAACTGAGTCTATTCTTTACTTTGTTAAATGTTTGAGTTTGAGAGAACTTATAAGTGTGGTCAACGTGTATCATAAGTTTGTAAGCAATCTTCCAAACACCTTTTTCAAGACGATGGTCTTTTATTTCCAGCTGGATCATCTAAATAATTGGTCCTCCTAATTGTCAATCATTCTGATTATACTTTTACGTAAGGCCATCCTACACGCTTGTCTCGTTAGGTATCTTTTTCTGTGCATGTGCACTTCTAGCTGCATATTTGTGGTGAGCTATGGTTTTAGACTTTCTCACCGCCGTTCTTTGAAAATGGCCGAGGGTCGTAAGAGAAAGAGTGTCTACAAATTGTATGAGGAGAAGGCAAAAGCCTCAGAAGAGGCAGATATATCCCAGAATGCTTTGTGTGGAGAGCTCCCTCCCCTTGCAAAGCACACTTGCTGTCATAGCGGGCCGCTGTTGGGTGACTGATAGCAAAGATGGAGCAGGTGCCACGCGGATGAGGAGTAACGTGCGGCTGGGGCGTCACATGACCAACAGAGCAAAAAGCAGTAATCAACTGTCCAAATGGTCAGTTAATTGACACAGTAAGCTTGTATGAGCTATGAGAACAACACAATTTAAACAGGGTGTGCACAAGGAGAAATGGGGTTCGTGCATTGCTTTTGCACTAGCATTCTTTTTTTGAAGTGGATAGGACTGGTTTTTAAAAAAAATTCCTCTACAATACCTTTAAAAAAAGGAAAACAAAACTGTGCAGAATTACTTCATTGCTTTCATATGAAACAGAAAAGGAGCAATTACTTCGAATCCCAAAAAATTAAATAGAATAACATTTTCTGGGACATTACTGTTATCTGTAACATCTTTGTAATAAATGTATGGAAACATGTAGCTACCCTGACCAGCAGAGTGAAACGAAGGAAGGGAGATAAATGCAGAATCATCCTATTCTCCAAACTTTGGTTATTCTGGAGATTTCAGCAGAGTCTCTTTAAGTCATAGAAAAAGACAGGATGTATTTTTCATTGTTGCATTATTCACTGTGACTTTGTAAAACTTATTCAAAATACAGCTTCCTTTGTCCTTCCAGACTTTATGTGCACATCTCTGCAACGAAGCATGCTGGGCAGAATAAAATACTGGAGGTATGGAACATTTCGTTTATTGGCTTCATATTTTGACTGAATTGTGAGAACTAACAAAACTGATTACTCTTACCGACTGTGCAGTGAAGACAGAAAATTTGGCAAATTACAGATAAACCGATCAGTTCAGAGGGTGATTTTGAACAATGACTTCTTGTAAGGTTTAACATGCAGACATACTATATCTCAACCAACTATAAATAGAACTATAATATAGGATTGTGGAAAAAGAAATTTAATTGTGTTTGATCTACACATTAGTTGTATATGTTAGGAGAAATGGCAACATCCTTTCACATGAGTGTGAGAAAGTAATTTTTGAGTTCTTGTCTGCAGACTTTGAGGATAAATCAAAGGTTTAATGCATAATTTGGAACAAAGCCTGAAAAACAGAAAAATGTATCATAATCTTAAATTTCTTTATTAAAACAACTTTAGACAACATGGAAGGTTCCTCGTGCTGAGGCGTTTATACAAGCTTTTGCTTCACTTTAGCATGCACACTTTCAGGCTTGATGTGTAAATTCGATTGAAAGAAGATTCCTTCCTGTATTCCTATTTCTAATAGGGTGATAGCATTGTGAAATCCAGCATGCTACAAGACAGAGAAATCTGTTGGAGTATGCTCATCAATCATGTTATCTGGTAAAAGTTTCTATTACAGCTTGAATAACCTGCAGACATGCCTTTATGTTTCAAAAAACACAGTTTAGTGGGGTGATACTGAAAATACTTTCAGCTGTGTTCACTCTGTAAAAGTATCCACACTGCACACTACTGTTGCAGACTTTACTCAGATACGTTGGTCCTGATGAGAAAAACATTGGATGTTTCAGTTCACAAAATGCACTGTGAATTAGCATTATGTCTGTCAGAGAAAGAGATCACCAACAGACTGAATGATCGGTGCAGCATATTACTACGTGAGGATAAAAACAGCAACTGGAACCAAGACAATAAAATCTATTAAATCTATGTTGCATAAAATGGGTTAACATTGTTGGAGCAGAGATAAGCCTGAGCAGATAAGGTTTAACAGCAAGCAAGAACTAAATGTAGTGGTGGGGAGCAATTTACATATTCATAGATCTGTTCCTATTCTAAAGAAAGTTGAGGTGTACAGTTGCATATCTGCCATTTTAAGGGATGTATACATTTTTGTACCGAGGGAACTGATAGTACATATATTACTCATTATCATTACAATGATTTTGGATTTTAGGGTGTTACATCATTCTGTTGTACTCTTTGACAATGAAGACAGGACAGATAAATTAAATACACTGAAGAGAAAATCAAAGGAACACAACAGAGATAGTAACTAAATCACTCAAAAACCTGAGTCTGTGATCTTTCACAGGTGGATGAAATCTTAGGCAACAGTGCAAATGATGTCTCAAGGCTGAAAGAGCATAGAAAAAACTCGTTTTACATATCCATGATATTATAAGCAGAAGGAAACCCATAAGAAGAAATACTTTCTGGCAACTTCTTTTTTTTGTCCAACCTACCTTTGAAACGCTGTATCGCTGTATATATATATATATATATATATATATATATATATATATATATATATATATATATATATATATATATATATATATATATATATATATATATATTTATAAACCTTTTCAGTTGCATTAAGATTCTGCTGGTCATTTCTGATATTTTGCAGAGGTAAGTTTGTTTTGGCAGAGATATTTCAAGACCATTGATTTAACATTTCTTCCCATGTTGTACAAAAGACAGACAGTGAGGGCATCGGTAAAGGTTTCCAAAGGAGAGCTCTAATGAATGTTCTCAACTGATGGGGGGTCACAGGTAATGCTCCAAAGCTGTGGTGCGGCAGCTCAATGAAACAAATAAACTCTTCAAGCTTTTTTACATTAAATCTGATTTTCTCAGACTACTAAAATAAACTTTGTTTATTATTTACTGATTTGTGATAGGAAAAAAAAACAGATATACTACCTTCTAACAGATGAAAATAGAAAACATTTGCACTAATATGCAGACACTAATGGATAAATTTACACTTGTAACTTTTTTTGGTAAATAATTCAACCAGCTTTGAGCAGATAAAAATGGACTTTTTTGCCCATCCTTTCCCAAGGGTTTGTTTACAACATAGTCAGGTTAGATAAGGAGCATATGTAAACAGCCATTACTAAGTCTTCCAAAGATTTTCTCTTGAATGCTGGTTTGCAGTTTGACTGGGTTATTTCAACTGAGCAGTATGCTTTGATTTAAACCCTTCCAATGTAGACCTTTATCTGCTGTCAGCTGATCCTACAGCTTTATAGCCAATTACTTTCTTGGATTCAGCTCCCTCTGTCTTAACAATAAACTTTGACGAGCCTCCCTGTGTGTCCCTCGTATTGCCCTGTGGGGGGTGCTCCAGGAGTATGAAGTCGGGGGCACTTTATTAGGGGCCATCCGTTCTCTGTACAAGCGGAGCAGGAGTCTGGTTCGCATTGCCGGCACTAAGTCGGACCTGTTCCCAGTGCATGTTGGACTCCGACAGGGCTGCCCTCTGTCACCGGTCCTGTTCATAACTTTTATGGACAGGATTTCTAGGCCCAGCCAAGGACCGGGTCTGGTTTGGGGAACAGCGGATCTCGTCCCTGCTTTTTGCGGATGACGTAGTTCTGCTGCATCGAGAGGAGTCAGTTGAGGTGGCTCGGACATCTTCTTCGGATGCCCCCTGGACGCCTCCCTCGGGAGGTGTTCCAGGCACGTCCCACCGGGAGGAGGCCCAGGGGACGACCCAGGACACGCTGGAGAGACTATGTGTCTCGGCTGGCCTGGGAGCGCCTAGGGCTTCCCCCAACAGAGCTGGAGGAGGTGTCAGCGGAAAGTGAAGTCAGGGAGTCTCTGCTTAGTCTGCTGCCCCCGCGACCCGGTTCCGGATAAAGCGGGAGACGATGAGTACGAGCCTCCCTGTGTCCACTCATGGAAGAATTTCACACTATGAAACATGTTGGTGGCTGCATCATAATAAGTTTAATGTACAGGTAAGTTTTTTTTTTGTTGTTTTGTTTTTTTACTGGGAAAATAATATTTTACATGGGCTACAAAGTTTAACTTTGGCCTTATCTAACCAGAACAACTTCCGAATACTTTGATGTTGCATTTATGGCTTGTGGTCAGTTGCACTTGGGAATCCTCTGCCAGTTTGGTGGACTGACATTTCTAGGTTTGCACTTGTCCCACTCTCTGCTTTTATTTTAAGCTATGGGAATGAACAGTGACTTGTCAGATGACTAGTCCCTGCTTCACCCTTCTATAGGGATCAGAAAAAAATGGGCTAAATTCAAATGCAGAACACATTTTTTGAATCACTTAGCATAAGTTTCCTTTGACCTCAGCCATGGCCTAATTTGTGCTGGTTCTTAACAAAAGGTTCTGATAAAATTCATAGATATAATGTGGTTATAACTTCACAAAATTGGGGAAAAATCCAAGTGCAATTAAATTTGAATGGGTTAGCATTTTTTCATGATAAATTATATAATTGTTTTGATCATATTTTGTTTTAATCAGTAAGACCAACATTCAATCCATCTTTTTGATGCTCTTTTACCTTTTTCATTTTGCCAACTCTCTTTAGGTGAGTATCCTAGATACTTGTACTCTTCAGGCTTCCTTTATTTCTCACATTCAGAGTGATTAGAAACAGCCAAACACTTACTAGGGAAATATAAAAACACTTACTGAGACAACTGTGGCCGTAGTGAACCATAAAATCGGCTCCCAGGGGACGTGCAGTGAAGTCATCCACGCAGCAGGCCCCATACGTCACATCCCCCATAATGATGGTGTCTGCCTCTGTGAATCTGTAAAACATAAGTGACAATCAGTATAGTCACAGATCATATGCATCTTACCTTGAGTCTAATTATAATACATAAAGCATACAAAGCACCTGTGCTTATGAGAGAGAGCTAAGTAATATCAATTAGTAAAACCCATACAGTGTTTTACTAATCATCAATGGCTTCCTCAAAGTATGATTATGTACTAAGCCCTTTTTTCCTTGTATCCAGTTATCAATGGCCAAAGTATAGTATAGCATAGCAAGGCTATCAAAATAGCTCTTATATATGAATGTTACTAGATCCTTCAGACAGACAGACCATTGAAAGATTGGTAAGAACAGAAATCACTGAAGGTACAGTTTGGATTATTGACAATTTTGAAATGCTTGAGGGAAGATAATATGAAGCTATTTTTAGAAATAAATCAAATTTTACAAATGTCATGAAGTAGCAAGTCTGTCGGTGGGTTCATGGGGAGTGGTGGCCTAGTGGTTAAGGCATTGCGCTTGGATCCCAGAGGTTCTGAATTCAAGCCCCACTCCAAGGGACTGCTCCTCTGGGTCCCTTTGCAAGACCCTTAACCCCCGTGTGTCGTCCAATGGCAGCCCACTGCTCCCCAAAGGCATGGGTTAAATGCAGAGAGTGAATTTCGTTGCTTTGTACTTCTGACGATGTGATGACAAAGTTGAATTCTATACTATTCTATAGAAAAGAGAAATCTAAGAGGTAAGGGAAATAGCTAGTCTAACATTTGCCTTATTCTTACTCTTACAACTAGGTAAATGGTGAATGGCCTGTAATTTTAAAGGTCCTTATCATTTCAGTGAACCCCAAAGCACTTTATACTACATTCATTCATCCACACACTGATGGTGGTAAGCAACATTGTAGCCACATCTGCCCTGGGGCAGACCAAAAGAAGTGAGGATGCCACTCTGACCACCAACAGCATAATCCCTAACGATACACACCGCAGGACTTAATGCTGAATTTATTTTTATTTTTTGTTGGGTTTTTTTTTTTTTGCTAAAATCTGATGTTTTTCATGCTTTATACGACTAATTAATTATTGAAATAGACAATAAAACATAAAACATGATAGCAAAAAGCAGGTAATAAAGAAAATTAAACAGACTTACAAACACAAACTTACTGATACCTCAGTTAAGTGTTTTACTTTAACAGTCAAAGGCAGTTCTAAACTAATTAGTTTTTAACTAACTTAATTGATATCTGAATAGGCAATAATGAATGTGACTGTCACTAGAAGTGTTTAATGAAGCCTTTTTTAAAAACAAAAACAAAAAAAAACTACTCAATAGTAGAAGCTGGTGTCTCTGTATAATGAAATTATTTAGCAATGGGAGTAACAGTATCATGACCCCACCATTAACGACCAAGGAATGAAGGAAAAGAACAACAAAAAAAACAGACAGCAAAATTATAAAAAATTGCTGATTTCAAAACAATCAGTGTTTGTCTCTGCTCCTACAGAGAAGTCTTTGTAGATATGTTGTGCGAGCGCTGACAACAATAAAATGTCAGATGAAATACGCCATGACTGTTGAGAGTGGGCAAAATGATGGTCCTTTGGCACATTTGCCTGCAGTGTAAACATAAAGTGTTATTGCCCTTTAACTCAAAGAGTTATAAGTCATAAACCCACACTTTCAGATTAATCCATAATTGTTTAAAAAATCTAAACTGTCCCTTTATATTCATTATAGTTTACGGAGTCATAGGGTGCCTTTAGTTTTAAATAAATGCTAGAAGTTCACACTGAAAGTTTTGGACATTTCTTTTTCATTCTTGTATAATATGCAGAGACCAATAAAATGTATGGAAGTCTAAAACAAATATCAGTGGATTAAATACCTGATTTTTATCCAATTACTAATCCTATTACTAAACACAAAACACCACAATATAAGTTAAATTAAGTGTGGGAGGAGATCCTCAGGAGATCATCCGCCACTTCACCAGGAGCATTTCTACTAGCTGTAGGGAGGTCATAGAGGCACGTGGAGGCCACATACACACTGAGCCTCATTTTGACCTGTTTTAAGAACATTACATCAAAGTTGGATATGCAAAAAGGTGGAAATACGCACAAGTGTGTATTTACACTCCAAATCCAGGTCTCTATTAGTTAATAAATTTCATTTCCATTGATGATTTGTGTGCGATTTTGTTGCCAGCACATTCAACTTTGTACGGAACAAAGTATTCAATGATAATATTTCATTCATTAAGATCAAGGATGTGTTATTTGTTCCATCCATTTGTTTAAGCAGCAGACACTTGCATGAACAAGTTTGCAGGAAGAGAATGAGCCATTTAGTGTAAATTATCCTCAGCATAAGCAGATCTTGAGTTTATATCAGAAACATGTGGACCCAATGTTTCAGTTTTCAATGAATGAAGAAAACTGGGCTTCATGGCAGGAAAACTAACAGCCTAAACATGCATCTGTGGGTAGAAATCTATTCAAAAGAGCAATAAAATGCATTACTGAGAGAACAAGCATTTGCTTTGTTAGCCCTTTATGGGCAAATAAATGTTAAGTGAAGTCATTAAGGCTAAGTAAAACAAGTAAAATATGAATGGAACACTGAACAAGTAAATTAAGCAGAGCTTGAGGAATTTAAAATTGGGGACAGTGAGTGGGTAGATGCAAAAAGGTGGTTCACATCAGGTTTTGGTAGTTTTACTCTGACAGATTTAGGCTAGACAGAGAGCAGAGAGATAAAACAGAGGGCTTAGGTGATAACCAGACATGGTGGTATTCAGAACAGCATCTATTCAAGCCAAAATAATCTTTTTAATGTGTCTCCTGCTGCACAATCTTTCAGCTTTCACCTACTCAGTTTATTCTTCAGTCTACCCTCTGAGAGGATCTAAGACAAAGTCTCTATTAAGCCACCTTTGTTTTCTGTGATGTAAACAACAGATTGGCTCTCTCTCTTTCTGGGCTCACTGTTACTGTCCACTTCTTAAATAAAATATATATATATTTTTCCCTCTACTCCTATTTCCCTGTTCCATCTAATGGTTGCTCTTAGTTGAAGAATAACGTCAGCCAGCTGAGTCCAGGTTCAGATTTGTATTTGCATCCATCTCATCTAACTGTACTGTAAACAAAAAAAAAAAAATCAGTAAGATGTTGGTTTATGGAAAACTATATATTTACAGGGGAATTTTTGAGACCAGTGGGCTTTTGCAAAAGTTTTCCTATTAACTGTGATATACTGTTCTTTGACCACCAGAATCTGCTGACTTTGTTTTGAAATGAATATATATCGGCATCAACCACACAGCTAAAAGTACACAGTCTGCCCACTGGAGGAAAAAAAAAAAATCAAATCCACTGCAGACTACAAAAAGCCATGTACAATGCAAAACACAGCACTGCAGAAGATTATTGTATCTAATCAGCCATCTATCTGCCAAAAACATCATTATCACACTATCTACACTAGTGCTGCAAAGCATATCTAGTTATTTCCAGAGTGAAATTTTATGGTAATAAATGCTAAGGATCTGAGTAAGAGGCCGATATGAGAGGTATGATTCTACTGGGACATAGGCACAGTAATTACTGGGCGACACATACCCCCCATCTCATCATTGGGAGCAAGGAAAAGAGGCAGTGGCTGATAGGTTAAAGGAGGCTGTTAATAAAATGCAGATTTCCATAACTGTATTTCAAATAGAAGATACTATAGGACAGTCTGCCACTTATAGTACAACTGCCCTCTATGACTATGCATTTGCAGATATATCACCTTTAATCTCCTTAGGACTCCCATCGGATTGTTTCTGTATGCACTTATCTGTGGTGTCAGTTGCTTGCTCCACATTATATATCAGCACTGGTTTAGGCAAACTCTGTTCAGCCTTTCAAGCTGAAATGTCATTAAGATCTAATTAAGATGTCAGAGGAGCTTGTGAACTTCGAAAAAGCCCTTGTTAATAAGCTCTTTAGCATAAAACTCAAAATGTTTGAGAAACTTCCAACTGATTTAAAGTCATTTAATAATGATAAAAGAAATGTACTGGTGTAAATAAAAGTAGACAACAAGGGTGAAAAATATATTAACACATACCCACACAAACAAAGGCTGTGCATTCCTGAAACCTGATCCTATCAGTTTTTATCAGCAGGTTGAGCTGCTATATTTCTTAATATGTTTTCTGACTTTGAAAGAAATTCCTTTAGAGGCCACCATAAAAAGAAAGTTGTTTGGTGAAAATGCCTTACAGCTCAAAGATTCTGAATCAAACAAAGAGAATAAAAATTCATACCTGCTTCTAAAGCATCCCATTAGCCAACACAAAGACATTCTATCACAAAAGGCACTCTGCTTTTGATGGAAATTATTTGACTGAATTAAGAAAACAGTCTTCTCACATCTGTTTAAACAGTTTATTTAAGGTTGCAATACATTTGTAATTTTAGAAAATTTAAAAACAACATTTTTTTTCTCTCCGCACACAATGCCTGTACTATTGCGTCGCATAGAATCTTTTCGAACGGCTCTTGCAATTATAGAACTTTGAAAATACAGACTAATTCTTATTTTTCATTAATTTTTTTGAATTTAGTTTTTTCTCCATATTTTTTGGAAAAAAGTGAAGCCTAAGAAAAGGCAGACATTTTTTAAAGAAACAGCTTAACTGGTAAGAATCAGTAAATCTAACTGTTGTTTGAGTTCAAATTTAAAGGGTCAAATAGACTTTTTTTCATCTAAAGAGATAACACAACCATGTTGATAAAGACCAGATGTTTTGTGTTCCAGACATGAAGTGAGGCAGGCAGGCAAAAATGGCATTGTGCGCATGACTAGAGAAAGGACTGAGTGGTTTAAAGTAATATCTTTATGCTTTGTGAGGTGCAGGGTGGTTCAGGGTATCCTCCCCCGTAAAATTTTGACCCTGGAAGGCTATTTCCTGCATTTTGAGGAGGAATGCAGCTAACTTTTTGTCTTTGTTACAAGACTACTTTTGTCCGGATTATG